TTAGTTAGTTAAGTAATTAGTTAGTTAGTAGTTAGTACGTATACTATATATAGTAGTCTACTATATATAAGTTAGTAGGTGGTGAGAGAGAGGAGGAGGAGAGAGAGAGAGAGAGAGAGAGAGAGAGTCTTACTAGCAACAACTATTTCACCAGTTCCATGTAATGGAGAATGTATCTCAACATTATTTATCTGAATAGTGTTAAATGGTTACAAATACAAACAACTAGGTACCACTCTCAATATCTAACTACAATGCTGCTGCTGTGGGGTGGGTGTGTGTGTGTGTGTGAGTGTAAATAAACTGCAAATTAAAATTAATCAAGGTTCAACTGTTGGGTTGGGGTAATGGGGAGGAGATGGGGGTCGGAAGAAAGGAAACCAAGAAGGCGGGCTTTCCAAAGAAAATTGTGAAGGTGGGGGTGGCGGCAAAAACCAAGAAGGGATGGGAGGCCGAAAAGGAAATGGGAAGGACAAATGTGGAATTGGAGGAAGAGGCGGAAAAGGGAACCCTGAAAAAGGGTTGCCAAGTGGAGGCATGACAAATTTTGCTGATGCCATGTGGCAGCTCATGGGCCCTCCACTTGGCACATAGCTAAGTGGGGCCACTACATATATGGGGCCCATTCCATTAGATGACTCCAGTGTGATGTTCGATGTCAAGTTGACACGTGGCACATTGCAGGCTGTCGCTGAGTTGTTGATCAGGCTAATGTGGCAGCTCGAGATGACGCCAATCGGCAAGCATATTGCGTAGATGCCTTGTCTATTGGTCACTGATGTGGCATTTATGGAACCACACCTAGCTTGGACATGCGCTCCTGCAAGGAATGGACATTAGAAAGATGTATTATTTGTGGAGACTTCTTGATATATGACATGCATGTTAAAAAGTTGACCTCCACCATCCACTTACCGTGATCAATATTGTTCTCTCTGTTAAGTACTTGGAAAAAAAATTTATATGTGTTGTTTTCTTGGTGAAGATACCATCGGGGTTGAATTAGCCTTGAGTAAGCAAAGCTTTAATGAAGATTACTGGATTATAGGGATTGACAGTTACATGAAGCCTGTACATGCAAAAGTAGGCTATACCAGGAGAAAGTACAAGCGTACTGGATATGGTATGAAGTGACGCTCCAGGCATGTTCTAGAGAGAGGTACATGCATACTAGATAGGGTGAGAGACAAGGTACAAGAAGAAGCGAGAAAAGAGAGAGAGAGAGACTCAGTGACTACCTTGCAGAAAATAACTATGGTTTGTAAAAGTGTTCTCATAGCATGCATCACAGTACACAATTCCAAAGATTGTCACTTGCTTTGCGAGCTTTCGAGTTCTGACCCATTTTCCATCAACTGTAACATGACAAGCAAAAGAAAAGGCAATTAGGAATGAGAGAAAAGCACAGGTTGCTGGGTTGTTCATGGAGACCCAATGGGTTACTAATGGGTGACAAGCATATTTATACACAGCTAGAGAGAGACTAGCCCGTGAGCCTGAAGTTTTTCAGAGGATGCTTGTCTACTGGGATAGGACATGTTCATGTGAAGGAGCATTGGCTGAAAAAAAGAAAATATCACTGCAGAGAACTTAGCAAACTGGTAAGTTTTGGCTCTTACCAAATGACAACTGTGAATCTCTCCAGTATGTGGTCCTAAATCTGTTAACCAATATTAAGCTCTCTCTCTCTCTCTCTCTCTCTCTCTCTCTCTCCATCAAACACAGGACTTAAGTGATGGGTTTCGTTGTGAGGGTCTTATTATTTAAATAATAATAAAAAGGATTGTGATATCAAAATCATTTTTGGTAGTGTAAAGGGAAATGTATACAGTAAGACCATTTACTTTTGGTGTAGGAAGATTACAATCATTATTGACGGTTAGATATAAAATTGAGAATTGAGAATTTGTCATTGACTTGGTACAAAATTCAAAACAAAATTTTTTGAATTTTGTGAATTATTTCAATCTATTAGATTTCACATCCAATGGCTAAGAATGATTGTGACCACTTTGTATCAAAAGCGAATGGTCTTATAATAGTGGAAAGTGTAATGATCCGTATGAACATTGAGAAGCAATCTGCATAAGTGTTTTAGTAGTCTGATCAATTGATGCACGCTAAAGAGAGTGGGACGACCATGCAGAGTTCGTGTTAGTCCCACTTGCTTTTGATCACCATCCATCAATAGATTTGGCAATGTGACAATCGGACTTACACTAGTGCATCACCATCCATCAATAGCTTTGACGGTGTCATAATCAGACTCACACTAGTGCATCACCATCCATCAATAGATTTGACAGTGTGATAATCAGACATGCACTAGTGCTTTTGCATGATCATATGGATCAAAGCATACTATTCTTTACTGCATAAACATTTGTCCAAATACCCATGAAAAATGAACTATTTAATATTATATCCATATCTTTTGATTTAATTTCGGAACACCCATTAAAAGACACATGATCATGATTTAGAATAGTTGCAAGTGAGGAAAATGCTAAAAAATTAATGTATAGGTATTTTGATAAATTTCTCTATTTTAATTTGACATGCAAATCAAAATTTAGATTGAAGTTTTCTATTTCTAAACAACGAGTTTAGTTATTCACGGGTTGAGCTTGGGTTGGGGTGCTTCTCTCAAGTTACGAGGGCAGACTAAAGTCTTTGTTTTTGTGCAGCAAGAGAAGCCAAAATGAAAAAACGCCCTAAAACTTTAATTTTCAATTTCTTGAAACGAACCAACACCCTTAGGTTTCGTGTTCCCACTTTTGGTGGTCTTTTTTTCAAAAAAAGTAAGTATATTAGAAAACAAAAGGGAAAGG